CAGTAGATATTCTTTTTGTTTTTGAAAAGGATCACAGATGTCTTAACTAAATTTGTTTCAGTGGTAGTGATATACTTTGGTTTATATGGCATGTAATGTGTGTGTGTTATGTGTGATTTGTTTGTATGTGTATATATTATATGTATACTATATATATGCATATATAGGTTTTCTGCTCATTCTCTTCTTGGATCAGTTTCTTACTCCTTTGAAGTCTTTTCTGTAAGTTTAAAAGCAGACCAACACAAGCCCTCTGTATTATAATCCTTCTCTTGATTTGTGTATTATTTTACTCTCTGACACAGAGAAATTATCAGTGTACATAATTATGTGATATTTCCCCCCATCGATTTGACTACAAAATTGTGTGTTTGGAGGTTTTCCTGTTTTGTGGCTTTTACCTTTAAACTAAATCTTCCCGGCTGGAAGCAGCAATGGTCAGGATGCAGTTAGTACATCTGTTTCTTCTGCAATGGTACACTCTGTTACCCAGATAGACCTGACTATCCCTTCATCACAAGAAAAAAATAGAAAACAGGACAGGGCAATCAGTCAGCTGCTGAGTGAACTGTCTTCTCTCTGCTAAGTAGACTTAGTTCTTTTCATTCTGGAAAGGGTGTTTGATAGCTGTCACCCAACCCCAGCATTATTTTCGTAGCTCACAAGCTTATGTAGCTAGGAAATATGAGCAAGGCATGAGTCTTGGGATGAAAAGGTCCTCTTATGGGAACAAGTCACGGCTGGACAGCACACTTGGAAATAGGGCTTTTCTGGTTGTCACAGGCAAGAGGATCAATGAATGGAGATAATGGGGTCCTGTGAATTGGCGTGTGCAGAGAAGTTCTGAGAAAGGAAAGGTGCTTTGGAACTTGGTCTGTCCCGTCAATGAAACCAGTTCTGTACCAGAGAGACAGTTGGTGACCAGTGAGGCCAGTTCTGTATCAGAGGACAGTTGGTAATCAGTGAGTCCAGTTCCGTGTCAGAGCAACAGCAAGTGACCAGCGAGTCCAGTTCTGTGTCAGGACAGCCAGTGACCAGGGAGTCCCACTTTTACCAGGACAGCCAGTGACTGCCATAGCTGTCTCTGTCATCCTTCTGTGACCCCAGTCCTGCTCATTTTGACAGAAATCTGTCACCCTCTTCTCCCAGCACCACAGATTGTTTCCTCTCTGGGTCTGTGCACAAAGTTGAATCCAAACGGATTGGGATGTTCATATTTCCATGCTCCTGTTAGCAGTGTTCTTTGCAGGTGGTGTCCGGTGAGGGAATAGTTATCTCTTTCTGAGAGCTTCATCTGCCAGCCAGCTATTGTCTATTTGTGCAAAAAATTCAGACCATGCCATGCTGCCAATCATTTTGAACTAGTGAGTCAGCACCACAAGCCCTCCCATTCACCCTTGTGAAAATGACCTGACTTTATTGACTCTTTTGACTGTGCTGTGTTTCTCCTGGACACTATGACAACCTACTTTCTCTTGTGATGTAGCACAAGTTCACTTCTCCCGGTTTTGTGAAATAGGATATCTGAGATCAATCAAGGTCTCAAAAGATTTTTTATATAGTGGAGGCTTATTTCCTAGTTCAAAGATGTTTCTCTCTGTTTGTCCTCACATAGCACAGAGACGAGAATTTCTCTGGAAATGCTTAAACAGACACTAATGCTGCCTACAAGGGATCTACCATAGACATATTTGTGTTACCCTTGTATTGGTATTAGATTTCAACACATGAGTCATCTGAGTGCTTAAATATTCAGGCCATAGCAGCTCTCCATATTCTGTATATCTTGCCATTATATCCCAGATGGGGTTTAAACCAAGTCACAGTAGCTGAGCCATCTAGTTAATCTCGAGAGGCTTTATTTTTTTTCATCATTTTTCAAATGTCACAGTTAGAAAATGCGACACTTGTTTGGAACCAACATCCCTAGAAGAAAGAGGTGTTCTGTATTAGTTTTCTTAGCAAGCATTCCAGGCATGGATAGCCCATTGGGGGCAAGGGGTATCATCTCAAGATGGGCTGCACTCTTATGTTGAGGCCTCAGTGTGATTCAGACCCCTTTCTTTCGTGTGACCATGGCTATTGAAATGGTAATCCTAGACATCAAAGAGGACCCTAGGAGAAACATATATGGATCCACTTGTAAAGGAGAAAAGACAAGATCTCCTGAGTAAATTGGCAGCATGGGGGCAGCAATAGGGTAGAAGGGGAGAGGGGAGGAAGAAATGGGAGTGGGAAAAAAATGTATAGCTCAATAAAAACTATTTATAAAGAACACTAATAAAAAATGATAATTCTGGAGAAACCATCATCAAGTCTACAGGAGTCTAATGACAGAAGGATCTGTCTTTCCATCTCACCGGTGCCTGTTCTCAGTTTTCCCAAGGTTCACCATGTTAGCATGTGGAACCAGGAGACATTTAATGAGTTGGTTTTTAAGTTAAAGATAGTAACAGTTGTCACTGTGAATACTAAAAAGCATAGACAGGCTTTTTAATATCACATTGCATCATTCACTAGTAGTATTTATATCTTACAATGTGTCCACCCCTAAGTAGATGGTGAGCACACATCCAAAAGGGTGACAGAAACTGTAACTGGTAAGTACTGAGCTCTTACTGCCTGTATATTGCCAGTTCTCAGATCAAGTTCATGTTTGTCTTTGCAATATTGAATCAAAGACAAATTAATGATATTTAGACAGATGGAATAATCTCAACAAGGACTCAGGTTGGACCACATAGCACTTATTGACTATTTACTGTTGATTCCAAATGAGACAGACACAAAGATATAACCTCAAGGAATTCATACTCTGAACTAAGGAACTTTTCTGTCCAGAAGTCAACCAACTTAAAAATCTCAGGAGTATGAAGACCACAAAGAGTTTGCTACCTTTCTGTTAATGTGTGGCTGATACACACGCTGGGTTGATGGATGACTTGGTAGATGTGAACTTCCTCTATTTCCACCAGCAAACCCTTTTGTCTTGCTCCCTGTGCCATCCTGCCATCCTCAGTCTATACTTTTGCCCCTTTCTGTTTTGTCTGTGTGCCCCTCCCTTTCTTGTTCTGGTGGGCTCTCTCCCGCCTGAGGAATTATTAGAGATTACCAAATGCCACAGTGTAACTTCAGTGGAGACCGTGGGAGGGAGGGAGACCTGGGGTGCTGAGAGAGGGCTTGGTGCATGGGAGCTCCTTCTTTTCTGCTTTCTGGTATCTAATGGACTGGAGGAAAGCAGGAGCCCACTGGCTGCCCAGTGTGCTGGGCTCCTTCCTTCTTGCTTTCTGGTGCTCCAGGCCTGCAGTGCTCCAAAAGTACATCCTTGCCACTCTCTTGTTGTTCATCTAATTCTTCCGTGATTAACAACTCAGTTCGTTGTGCTTCCAGCTCACATTAATCATCTTTTTCTGTGAGTTTGGTAACATTTGGAGTCATTTCCCTAGGAGTTTATCCATCTGGGATCTCTATAAAAGAGATGTTTGCACAAGACTGTCTGATGCTCACTGCTGAAACTGAAGGTGCTTATTGTTCCCAGCATCCTGAAAGGATGCTTCTGAAGTCAACTGTAGTTCCTTTACCATTCAGGGCCTATCAGTGGAGCTCCGCGAGGTTCCCAACATGGATCAAGACCCAAAGAGGTTTTGGCTACAATTTAATAGTGATGAACATCTCAAAAAGCAGCGCTCTGTGGAGCCTGAATGTACTTCTGGACAGATGGGAGTGGAGGGAGCTGTAGGGGGCAGTGGGAAGAGAGGGGAGATGGATGAGTCAGAGCAATCCTTGGCAGGATTCTTGACTTTACACCTACATACTATTTGACCTTAGACAAGACACATAATCTCACTAAGATCCATTCACTCCTTCTGCGAGCTACTATCACGAGATAGTTCTGAATGTCAGTGAGTATTCTTTCCACTGTTCTCTGCTATTGAGGAAATGCTACAATATTGCTAGTGCTGTTCAGTTTTGCAATTCCCACACTTCTTTCCAAAACTAACAAGGTGGTCTGTGTGTATATGTGTGTGTATACATATAACATATATAATATTTACAAGAATGAGAAAAATCTTTTGGGGAATTTCCACAGCTGCTTCTAACAATAACATATTTGTTTATGCACACATAGTATATACACATATATAACAGAATATATAAATGATATACATATGAATAATTTATATAGTGTGTATGTATGTGTGTATTATGTGCAAGCTTCAATGGAAGAACAAGCAGCCTATTGGGCATGTCCTAGAAGCCAGTATATCTTAATTATCTTTTTTTTTAAAATAAAAAAGCATTACAGCAATGTGCCTTGTTTGAGTTGGACAGAGGATATATTGCTTAGGAAACAGACAGAGAACCCTTTGGGATGCAGTTGTGAGCATCCTCACAGGTACTGTGCAGTCTCCGGAGTTTAGAAAGAAAGCAGTTCTTAGGGAGGTTTTTGGTTTGCCCCCCAACGTCATGCAGTGAAGGTCAGAGACATCCATCTACTTCTTAACGCAAGTCAGATGTTTCTTTAGAGACAATATTCTAAATTGAGTATCTTCTCAAAGCCCATAGCAGGCATTTTTGTCTATGATTATTAACCTTCAAATACAGGTATCGGTCCTTGTTGCTGCCCAAGAGGAGGACTGAATTATATAACGCCTCTGTTACTGGAGGAAGAGTAAAAGACGTGATTACATTTTATGGCTATAGAAAGGCCCAGGAGTGGAGTAGAAGAGATGGGAGAAGTTTGTTCTAATTCTGCCCTGGCAGAAAACAAGGTCATAGGATGTGGAAATGTTGATCTCTCTTCAGAGTCTTTTCCAATCTCTGGGGATTTCAGCAGGAGATTCCCATTACACAGAGAACCTCCAGTGGCTTTGACGGAAATTACCTGCCTAACTCACCTTCCTGCCGCTGTAGAAAGCCAAACACCTGAGGGCACCTTTTAATTGCCACGCACCTCTCCTAACAGAGAAGCTAATTGCATCTGCTTCCCTTTCTTTTAGGTTTCCAAGCAAGGACAGAAATGATGAAGGCTGTGCGCTAACTGCAGTCTTTTGAGCCGCTCAGGAAGGAAATCCGGAGTGTGGTCAGAACAGTTACAACCTGTGGAGTAAATGAGGAATGGACTCGTGATTATGCTGAGATTCCAGCATGAATCTGGTCGACCTGTGGCTATCCCGTTCCCTCTCCATGTGTCTCCTCCTCCAGAGCTTTGTTCTGATGATACTGTGCTTTCATTCCGCCAGTATGTGCCCCAAAGGCTGCCTTTGCTCTTCCTCTGGCGGTTTAAATGTCACCTGTAGCAATGCAAATCTCAAGGAAATACCCAGAGATCTCCCTCCTGAAACAGTTTTGCTGTATCTGGACTCCAATCAGATCACATCGATACCCAATGAGATTTTTAAGGACCTCCATCAACTGAGGGTTCTCAACCTGTCCAAAAACGGCATCGAGTTTATCGATGAGCATGCATTCAAGGGAGTAGCAGAAACCTTGCAGACCCTGGACCTGTCGGACAACAGGATTCAAAGCGTGCACAAAAATGCCTTCAATAATCTGAAGGCTAGGGCCAGAATCGCCAACAACCCTTGGCACTGTGACTGCACCCTCCAGCAAGTTCTGAGGAGCATGGCATCCAATCACGAGACAGCACACAACGTAATTTGCAAGACCTCGGTGTTGGATGAGCATGCCGGGAGACCGTTCCTCAACGCTGCCAACGATGCTGACCTTTGTAACCTCCCGAAAAAGACCACTGACTATGCCATGCTCGTCACCATGTTTGGCTGGTTCACCATGGTGATCTCGTACGTGGTGTATTATGTGCGGCAGAATCAGGAGGACGCCCGAAGACACCTTGAATACTTGAAATCCCTGCCAAGTAGGCAAAAGAAGGCAGACGAGCCCGACGACATTAGCACTGTGGTATAACGGCCACGCTGACTGGCGCTGGGAAAGTAGCTTCTGGTTGTAGTAGAATAAGTGGTTCACTTCTCCCTTCATTGTACACGATTAAAACTTTGTATTTTAGTTTCTTTGGAATCACGCCACTGTTGAACTTTTCGCGAACTCTGCACCACCGATAATTTTAGTTTAGGTGATCTCCCCCCCACCCCCATCAATTGTGCCCCTGGTCCTGAGTAACAAGCTCTCTGGACGTTAGTCAGACCCATCTCACTATTTAATAATGAAATTTATTTTTTTAATTTAAAACTGAATAAAAGCTTAACTTTGAACCGTGGAAAACAGTGTGACTTATTGGTTAAGAAAACAATGTCGTCCGTCCACTTGCTTTAATGAGAGAAAGACAACTCTGCCACTCCAAAGGACTGTTCTAGTGAAAGGTGTATCATTTCAAGCTTGAATTTTTGACCAGTTAAGTGTCTGCCAGACTTTAATTAGCCGAGATGATTATACAAATGTGTTTTCCCCAGACTGGGTATGATAGGATACCTGCTGACTAGCATTTGATTTTCAAAATGAGTAGGTTTCGGAAAAAAAAAAAAATCCTTGCTTCTACTCTCTGCTGGATGCCGTAAGAAAGTAAAAACACTGGCCTGTATCTAATCCTCAAGACTGCCTTCTGGTGGGTAGGAATGTGTGGTGGGCACAGAAATAGCTCTGCCAGAAAAGGAAGAGCGCACCAGCTCTGTGGGAGCCACTGTGTGGCACAGTGATACTGTTCATGTCCCTAACCTCTCACCAACAGAGAAAGTGCCCATCGGCCTGTGCATAGAAAACATAGATCCAGCCCCCTGCCAGGTAGAGACCTTCTCAGCTTGAGTCTGAACCAGATCTTCTCTGAACAGAGGTCTTCTCATCGACAGTCCTTCTATGTTGAGTTACAAACACAGAATGGGCGTGAGAGAAACACGCTAACAGGAAGTTTCATGAGTTTTGTCACCGTATGTCATTGTATGCAGTCTGCCACACAGAGGAGATATTATGTCCCAGCTGTGGGCAGACACACCAGAAGCGCATTTGGCTCCGGGAGTGGGTACTGATAGGCTTGTTTATTTGTTTGTTTTAGGATGGATGCGTTCAGGTAAGCATGAAGGACCAAAGGTAGGGACCTGTTCCCAGTGACGGAGTCTCTGTGGAGAGGAGACACAAGTCCAAACCCTCGGTGACTTTAAACTGGAGAATAGCCATCATCTGTCATCACACACCAGTTATGAAAGGAACTTTGCACCAAATAGCCATATTAACTGATGCTTGCAAGACCCTGGGAGATAGGTTTGCAGTTATGTAACAGATTCCGGAGCCCAGCACTTGTAAGAAGCGTACAGTTGTAGAAACTGTATACCCCTGCTAATGACATATACACGGACACCTGTAGTCTCTGGACCACTCCTGTCTGCCATTCTGACATTCACAATGTGGCTGGCTCCTCGGCCACATGGGGTTACAAATACCTACATGACAATTCCATTTAAAAACAGACGGGAATTGCTCTGTGTATGGCCCGTGTAGGAAAGACGGTTAGCGTGCTCTTGTGAGCCACGTGGCCTTATCCTGCCCACACGAAATTGTCTGCAGGGTGCCAACACTCACAGTTCTACTTCCAGAAAGCCCTGAAGATCTGACTGTAACCATAGTCTGTTGGAAGGACCACTGAAGAAATCCCCTCAAAGCACACTGGTCCTTTTGTGCCCACAGCCACTTTAACCATTCCAAATGCATTAGTCTAGCCCAAAATTCAGAAATAAATAACTCTCCAATGTGAAATTTGTGTTAGGGTCTAGAACTTCTGCACCCAGGAGTTTGAAGTCTGATGGCCTGCCTTGGATTCGGATAGAAGAGCCAGTCCAAGGAGTCAGAGCCATGCTGAAGGTACGGCGCCCCCTGGAGGATAGTTTTGTTAATGCACTGCAAGCACTACATGGGAAAAAGACACTTTCCACTACAGTTGAGCTTTAACAATTAAAGTGTGTTTACTTGAATGTATGAGTCACATTCATTGTGGAAAATCCTCCACAGATGGATTAGATAATCTATTCCAGGCCACTCCATCCAAAATTATCTTTATGTCCGTAGTAATGACAGCTTATTTTTCTTGTGGTCAATCCATTAATCCATTGAATGTTCTCAAAAATGGAAGGTCTCTGAGGATTTGCTGAGAATAATCATATCCATGTTAAGTACCCACACACTTGGTTTGTATCTCTCCATGTAGAGTTGAGAGACATGCCACAGGTTCCAGGACTCCCTCCCTAATTCTGTCTGTAGATTATCCGGTTACAGGGTCTTTGGTGATTCAAGAAGGCAAACATTAATTTAGTTGCCACGAATTGAATGGAAGTTTATTAGATAATAAAAATCAAATAAAAATAATTAAAGTAGCAGATTAGCATGTCTATTTGTGACCAGAACAGAAGGGAAATGATCTAATTGCCAGAGTGTAGAAATATCTACCCACGAGGCCAACGATGCACTGAGCCGCTCAGTGGAAGAATCCGCTAAGCGAAAGCCTGCAGTCTCGAGCCGAGATTGATGTCTCGTTTCCCACCCCTCTGTGGGAGTTTCTGTTCATGGTGAACCACAGGAAGAATTTAGAAATTGCCTACCTTCCTATTGTCCTGGGCACACCACCGTTCAATACTTCAATATTTTAAGTGGCAGTACCTTTTCTCAGACTGTGGTTTTTTTTTTCTCTCAACCTCCACCTTTCAGATTAAAAAAAAAAAAGGAAAAAAAAAAAAGAAACCCCTGGGAATTTTCATCTTATCTTTGACAATGTGCTCATCTGGGAAGCAGAGCAAAGCATAAAACAAGCCAATTCAACTAGAACACATTTAAAAGTGATAAAAGCTTACATAAGGGAAGCTTGAACTTCCATGAACACTTGGACAAACTGCAGCCACTGCCGCACCCTGAGCAGTGTGAGCACGGTGCTTTTTCTTGTCTGTCTCTGATCCTCCTCAGTAATTCATGATCTGATGTCACCAAGCATACGGCAGTCTAGGGCTTGCGTGAGGATTTCTTATTGAGTTTTTCACACAGCTAGTTCTCTCAGTCTGTTGACAGAGAGACGGGATGGAAAATTGACTTATCACTGCTCAGCTCCTGAAGGCCGATGCATTCCTACAGCGTCAGGATCGAGAGTCCTTGGAATAGTCCCGTCTACCCACTTCTGAAGCTAAATGCGTATAAGGGGGGAAGGGGGATGCGAGTCAAATAATTCCAAACTGAACGCATATATGGGGCTTGGGGGGAGGGATACGAGCGAGTCAAATAATCCCAAACTGACTATGCAAAGAGTTTCTTTATTAAAGGGGAAAACTCACAGAACCAGAATGGGGTCCAACCTCAAGAAGTGGAGCGCGGGAAGAAGAAAGCGGAGAGCTGGGCTGGACCACGGCCTCTTGGGAACCCAAAAGTCACGCTCCAACATGGCCCAGCCTCCCAAAAGACCCACGGCTGAAGGAAGTTCCCAAGCACACTTCACAGGTACAGACACTGAGATGCTTGGAGCTTTAGAGGTACGCCACTTTTGTCTCTAAGTTTCCTGTAGGTCACTAACTGTCCTCCGGGTGAGTTCTATCCTGATCACCGATCACCGAAGGCAGGCCATGAACATCCTACCAGCACGCACAAGGAAACATCACTGGATGCTAGCAAATGTCTTGGAGGCTTTCTACTTTTTTGTGAGCCAAAGACTACCCATGATTCTGAAATCTTCATTGCTCCTTCAAGATCAGGCAGCAGCAACTGCTTGCCTGTACAAGCACCTCCAGGATAACACATTTAAAAGTGTACATGACCTGGCCTCTCAAATGGGAGAAATGATGCTGGGACATTGTCCCAGAAAAAGAGAAAGAAGTCACATTTATTTCCTTGAGCAAACCCACAAGAGATCCCGTGCAGTCAAGCCGGCAAGACAAGGCCATTCCTCAACGCCCTTCCTCAAGGACCTTTACCCAGGGCTCTTGTCTGCCTGGCTTCCCAAAGGGGTGTCACTAGTTCATTCAGTTGGCTAATTCTGACCAGAAAATGGAAGCAAGATGTATGCCGATTCGTTTTGCTTTTAGTTATGTCGGTTTGACATACACTAGGATCATCTAAGGGGAGGAAGCTTCAACTGGGAATATGCCTCCATCAGATTGACCTGTGGGCATTCTTCAGGTCAATCTCTTGATGAATGAGTGAGGCCCGTTGCTGTGGGCAGTGACATCCCTGGGCAGGTAGTCCTGGGTTGTATAAGAAATCAAACTGGCAAAATTCTGATGACCAAGATAGTAAGCGGCGCTCCTTCAGGGCATCTCCTTCAGTTTCTGCCTCCAGGTTCTTGCTTTAATTTCTGTCCTGACTTATATTGGCGATGGAATGTAATCTGAGATGTAGCAGTCATTAAACCCTTTCTTCCCCAGCTTTCTTCTGCTCATGTGGTTTGGGTAATAGAAAGTAGACTAGGACAGGCGGCAACCTCAATTCCCACACATCTATAAATCCATGTTATAAAATAGAACTCAGTGAAGGAAGATCTGCCTGCATTCTGCATTTGCCCACTCACGTGGTGGTCCACTAGGGCCCAAGACATTTTCCCTTCAGCTCAAGAAAATGATTATTTTGAGGCTACAGCATGGAGAGAGAGTCCTATGGTTTTCTGAGTGGTGACAATAAAGAGAAAAACCATTGACATGCATTGGTGGAACTCTTGATCTATCTATCTATCTATCTATCTATCTATCTATCTATCTATCTATCTA